CAAAGTAGACTATCACTCACCCACACCAGATGGAAAACTCTACAGACTGTCGGTTCACACCCCATCACAAGCCAGCAAGACATCCACGAAACAAATATATATTAAGCACTTTCCTATTGAAGTATGCAAATTGAGATGAGAGCAGTGATTTGAGAAACTTGCGAGATTAGATGGCTTGGTTGTATTTTTTTATATATTTTTTTGGAATAAGATTCAACAATCCAAAACAAAGAACTGTATTAACCGCAAAATGGTAGACACGCAAATTGAAGCTTTCGAAAATTACATCTTAAGACGCAGTTTACACAGATTATTATCAACCTTTATGGTAAGCAGAGACGATGGGAGGATTTAGGGAGAAGAAGGAAGATGGTGAAAAAATGGAGAAGGAAGACGATGAAATGGATTGCAAAGATTAGAAGATCCAAGTATCTGCAGAGGCTTGGCTTACGCCTCTGCCTAGGGGTCTTGGGAGGCTGGAGAGGAGCAGGTTGAGCGTGAGAGTTTGGATGACGGGTGAGGGTGGTTTGGTTACCAGAAAGAGGGGTTGAAGGGGAAGGGGACGAGTGGGGGAGGAGTTGCCCGAAGAAGAGGAATCCTTCGGTTCAGTCTTTCCAGATTTCCTCTTCTTGGAGGGGGTCTGTGGCGGCGGTCTGGCCACCTTCCTCGACATTCCGAGCTGCACTGCTTCTAAAACTAAAACACTTCTTCCGAGTAGTTCCTACCCTTAGAAGAGCAGAAGCAGAAGCGGGGGTAGTCAGGGGTGGAGGGAGGAGAGGGGTCCAGAGGCAGGATCGGATGGCGAACGTAGTCTGAAAGGTTGCCGAAGGCTTCCTTCCTGAGATATCTAAACCAGGGGCCCGACCCCCAGTCTGGAAGCTCTTCGATGTGAAGAGAATTGATAGCTCCTTCCCCAAGAGAAGTAAAAAACTCCTTGAAATGAGCAGCGATTGGGAAGGCTAAAAACGGTGACGATGCCACACCAGGAAGATTCTCCGCCAAGATAAAGAACCCCTTCCTGACCCACGAAAAAACCGATCCGTCATTCATGCAAGCCACGCACATTCCGAGGCAGTAGAAGTTGGCTGCAATATCATTTGAACACGTCAGCTGAAATTCGGCCAAATCCAAACGGGCGCTGAGAAGTTCTTTTGGAGAAAGCGAGAAAAGCGGCCTTGTATCAACGAAAATCAGCTTGAAGATGGTTGCGGAGAAGAGTGAATAAGACAGAAGTTCGACTGCTCACTTGCGCTTGATTACATAAAAGGACTGGTCTCCGTGCTGGAAGCGGAACTTGGAGGCGTCGATGCAGAATCTCTCTATATCCTCGGCGTTGAGCAGCGCGCCATACTTGGTGATCGCCCTGGATTCTTGAAACTTGATGATAGAAGGCGAAATTAGGAGAGGAAGGAAGAAAAGGTGGAAAGGAAGCAGAGAGGCGGATGGAGGATCTATAACGAAGATCTTCTCTAGCACAGGATCAATGGCTATCAGAGGCGAGGGTTTTGGAGAGGGAAATTCAATAAGGGAGGTGAAGAGTTGAAGGAGCAGGTGAGATGGAATTGGCGAAGAGGACTGTAGCATGAGATGAGCCGGAAATGATGTTTGAGGAATGGGTCGAAGAGCGGAGGCTGCTCAGGCGGAGTGGAATGATAGGAGAAGGAAGGAGAGACTGATCTGGAGGAGGACGGGGAGGAGCGAGGTGGGGGAGGAGAGGTTGAAGAGGACGGGCGACGGTGCGGCGACAGGGCCGAGGTACAGAGTGAGGGACTTCCAGGTGCGCCTTCTCCATTCATGGTTAGAGGACCTGGGGAGGCTTACCGGTATTATAAATAGCTGCGAGGGCTGAATTGCAAGGAGGTGAACCGGGCGCAGACCTGGTTTAGTCGAATTTCGGTGTGCAAGGATACAGTCAGGAACCTAGTGCAGGTGCAGAAGAAAAGCGTGAAAAGCAGGCTCGGAGGGCGAGGGAGGTGGCTTCGCCAAAAGGCGAGGTGAACGACCTGATCTCAAGAGCGACTTGGCTGACTAACTTGATGTGACTTGCAGAGTTGCCTACGCGATGGGCGCGGCGGCTGGCGGAAGAAGTGCGGAAAGGGCACAGCGAGAGTTGACGCCTTCTGCTGCGACCGGTCCTGCACCGGTTACTTATGCTCTTGCGGCTCCTGGAAGCAGTGGAGGCCGGGCCGCCGAGGGACTGCTTCCTGCTGGGTGAGTCCCGCTGGTACCCTTGAGATGAACCAAAGATGCTGGCCAATGAGAACTCCAACCGTAGATCTTGAGAAAAAAGAATAATAGAAAAAAGGATGAAACTGAAGGAACCGTAGATGATGAGGATCAACCATAAACTGCTGCCTTGAGATGAAAAGACAACTCCCTTGAGGTTGACATCCGTACGTCTGAAGAGATGAGAAACCGGGACCGCAGGAGTTGAAACCAACCGCGAGGCCTGGCCCAGGACAATTGCCTCCTGGGGTTCTTCATCGAATAGGCCAGTAATTGATCATGATCCTTTTTTCAGACAAAGCCGGGTAAAAGCCCCGGTATCTCAAAGCTTTTTGTGTATGTTTCATGTTTCCAATGGGACGCTGGCCCCGGCTCCCAGCACGTGCGGCGCCCCACGAATAGATTGGCGCACTGCCCCAATTTAAAAACAAAACAAAACAAAACAAAAAAAACCCTTCGGACAGGTCAACTGACGTGCAACGACTTTTTCAGATCACATCTCGGAAAAACCCACTTCCGAGCCGAGACCCTGATTAACAATAATAGGGGCCATCGATCCCATTCATCGACGGTCAATGCTAGTGGAACCTTGGCCCAAGAGGCGAGGGCGGACTCCTGAACGGTTCTGTGCTACCCGTCTTCCCCCCGAGCGCACACAAGGCACCCTGATTATGAATGCACACAAGCGATGTGTCCGAATGAGGGTACCTGGGTACGTGACGTTGGGGGGAAGACGGCAGCCCGTAGTCGGTCATCAGAAGCGATGACCGGATAGGCTGGCTGCGACGGCCGCATGCGGAGCGTCCGCAGGTCTGAGCAAGCAACGTGCGATCGAACCCGTCTGCAGGTCTGAGCAAGGCGCTGATGCAACTCTTTTTTTTCTTCTTCCTGTTTTAGGAAAGTCGCCATGAATACATAGCCATGCGTTTTATTCGAGGGAAAGCGGGCGGCGATGACAGCTGTCAGGAGCTGTACGTTAAATAGCGAAGGCGGCCGAGCAGTGGTGGTCCACTGGTGGGAAGTGTATAATAATTAATAATAATTAATATGTAAATTTGTGCAATTTACGAAAAAGAAATTGTTGATGATCACCGCCGACGCCGTGGAGGCTGGAGCGCCCGCTGAATGTGTTGTCGTCAACGAGGAAGGTGTGGAGGGGTGTTTGGTTTGCACATTCAAGCTCGCGGCTAAAGCGAGTGTCAGCGAGGAGTAGAGATGGCGGGGGGGGGGGGGGGGGGGGGGGGGGGGGGGGGGGGGGGGGGGGGGGTTGTGCGGTTCTTGAGGAAGATGATGGGCGAGAAGGGTGTTTATGTGTGTGTGTTGTACCTCGCACCTGTGGAGAGGTGAAGGTGGTGGGCGAGAAGGGGTGTTTGTGTGGTTGGTACTTCTGCTGTTGACTTACAGTGAGGGCACGGGTGCGCAGCCCGTAGTTTGTGTGTTTTGAATGGTTAAATTGTGTGTTGTATTTCTACAAGTGCGTTTTCATTGAGGAGGCTGACGGGCGTGTTTGCTGTGTACTATTGCTGAAGCCCGTGTCATTGCGGCGGAGGAGGCCAGGCGTTTCTTCTCTACGGGTAACTGGGGTGAG